TGGATGGGGGGGGGGGGGAGAACATAATAAATAAAATTGTGCTGTGGGTCTTTATTCGTTCGGACTGCATGGGGAGGTGCGTGTATGAAGGTTGATGTCTGTAAATTAATGAACTGAAAATACACACACGCGCACAGTTTAGAATAGGTAGAAAAACTGTTTTTCATGCGATATTAACTGCTGTAGATAGTACGGAAAACAATCCGAATTTCTTTGTGAACTTCAGTGGTCAGTGCTCTGTCTCGTGGCTACTATCATCCAGTTTCACAGACTTGATTGTCATGAACGGATTGTATCCCTTTCATTATCGATTGGTATATTCGGGATTCAGTGCAAGCAATCTAGGGGTTGATTTAATCGTGCCTTGAGGAAAGGAATCGTATAGCAGTTAGGAATTCCATTGAACTACACACCACGATCGCATTATCTTGAAGACGAGGATTGTAACGAAATTGCTTCGTCTACAGCTAGCATGTAATCGGCTGTTTTCACAAACGGGCCTGTGAATTAGAATGCCGAAAGCTGTCATTTCACAATTTATTGACATTTCAAACTAAACCGAATGAAGCTGCGTAGCTAGTAGTAAAAACAACTTCCCCTCTTCGTACAATGGTAATACAAGATTTAATTTGATTATAAAGGGAATTCCGTCATCAGTAGGGTGAATTCATCGACCCAACTGAGGATGGAACCTCTCAAAGTGCACCTTGTTGTAACAACAATATCCAGTTTTTTCCACACCGAGTACGTGTTGCAGCGGTTCGGTTGGTGCTGCTGTATAGTTCAGAGACTTGGCGTTTATGGGAACAGGGTAGTTAGTGATAGACTATAGATGTTTTGACATCGATGTTAACGTCGCATTGCACGAGTTTGTTGAAACAACCGGAGAAGTAGCACTGAGAGTTTAGGCTCAGAGTTTTATGCAGTCACAGTCGCCTACTGGAACAAGTGCTTAACTTCCATAGATTGCATTACTTGGGGCATGTGTGTGGGATGTTTGTGGTGGTAGGTAATAGGTGGAAGAAAGAAAGTCAAAGTCAAACGCACTTGGGTACGAAACCCCTGACCAAGGGACTTGGTTATATACTTCGGGTCAGGCTCCTCAGTTATGGACTTTAGGGTCAGTGTAATCAATGGTTAAGGGCAACGAATGATCAGGCTGCGTGTTGTAAACAGTGGCACTTGTGCATCTATTCATTTTATTTGCAACCTTAATCTATCTGAATTCTCTTACTTTACATTGAAGCTGCTTCGATAATCCCAATCTTTCTTCGACTCTCTTATCCAAATGAGTAACCAAAATACAGCAACAAAAACTACTGCGTGAAAATGTAAGGTAAATGGCTACTTAAACTAAATTAAAACGGAAGTAATTCTATCTTTTTGTGCAATTACTTGACCCGTTCCTCGGAACAATGTTCAATGATGAAACCAATACATAAGTTTTATCAGTTGCAGATGTGGACCACAATGAGTGACAACAACAACGGACACACAACAACTGCAACTGTGAGTGGATTACACCTGGCCGAACGACGAGAATTTTTTCCGGAAGGCAGAATCTAACAAGGCTTCCGAGAACTTAAAAACCGCCATCCTTTCGGGGCAAGATGCTAACACCACTTCTCATTGAACAAATATTATTCCTAAATTAAAAACGAATGCTCAACCATGTATGCTGCCATAACAGACACACTCATAAGACCTAAACCCTTGTAACAATATGCGGGATAATTTGGACCACAAGGTAGAGAACGTCCAAGTTTCACATTGCCTAGATTAGATTCAGAAGCGGTTGGATCAAATTGCCCATCCCGTTCCTAACTGAAACTGGGGCATGAGGAGTCGGGAATGCAACTGTAGAAAAAGGTTGAAAGTACTGGGTATTGGTGAAAAATCAGTGATTCGTTTCAAGTATTTGGGACCGGATAACTGTAAGTAGGTGAACGATTATTCACGAAAAGCAGGTGCAGGTGTATCAATAATTGTGGTACACTAAATAGTAAGTTTTATTGCTATGGACAACCGATTGTTAAAAATTACAGATCATTAAAGTAGAGTTTTACTTGGCCTGAACTCAGCACTGGTGCACAGGCACTTACACACACAGTTTTCCTCTAATCCGTGCACGCGCGCACGCCTCACTGCGTTAAATGCAATATAGATAGCAGTGAAATGTTCTGGGAGAGAGACTGGTTGACGTGATTGATACAGCCAAGCAATAATGAATGCACCAGAGCTTGACCTAACCTATAAAGAAATCTGCGCGAATGATCGGTGACTTTTAA